TGTGCTTTTAACTGATCAGAATCTTTCGTGACTGCAACTGGACAAGATGCTGGTGTCATCTCTCAAATGAATCTGGAATTTCTTACAATGATGTACTGCACTGAAATTCAGCTGCAAGACATGGAAAGTCTGTATTACAACCAAACAATTATTAAAACCAGTTCGGAATAAGATTAGTTCTGCATTGTGACAACACGAAAGCTATGCATAGGTCCCTACCAAACATGGAGTTTCAACAAACTGTATTTGTCAACAAGGAAATCCCTCCTCCTCACCTCACCGTCAGTATTCTTCATTTCACTCACTTGTACCCTCACTTTTTCTATTAAAGCTAAGTATTTCCAAACTTTTTTAACCTCAAGGCTTACCAAGCAATACAAAATTAAAGGCATATATTTACTGATAGCAAAAGTCATACTTACTAGCAAATATCACATTAACAGTTTTAACAAAAGTAAAAATTTAATCCTAATTACAAACCTTATCACAGATTATTTTTTAGAATCATAAAACCATATGAAAACTTGGGGAACTAAAACATCTCAACGGCATAAAAGATCATAAACAAAAATCTTTTTAAAAGTAGGAACAAAAATCCCTTTTTACTTAATCTTTTTATAATGGCAAGCTTTTTCAAAAGTTCAACTATTCAATATAAACCTTACAGCAAAAATACCTGGACATCCTCTTGTCTATTACAAGGTATTTTTGCAGTAGTAAATACATGGTGACTTATAGTCTTCCTTCGATAAAGCTGATGGAGCTAAAGGGAAAAAAGGCACAAGACCTCTCCAGAGTAATCTCCAGGAGTAATGAAATTTATCTATCCATGATCAGGATAAAAAAATATGAAATTATCACACTGACTTTGCCAGCGGCACCAGCTAGTACTTCCCTTTTGTTTGCTCCACTTACAAGTGGCATATCTTCTTACCTTTGCCTGTGGTCTTTTTCTACATTTGGAACTTCCCCCAAGCTCAAAGAGCATTCCTTCCCGCTACTGAAGTTTACAAGAACGACACAAACTATTTTTAAAAAAATACCCATTTTCTCTGCTATGAGCAAAGCTGGCCTTTGCTGGAGAACTACAGTTAAACTCTCCATCACCTTACCATGGTATTACAAACACATCCTCTGAATTACTGTCGCTTCAAAGGCGCATATAGGTCTGTAGCAAATACAAGACAGCCTGACTTACCTTAGCCCACAATGAATTTTACTACAGACTATTTCTGTAGCCTAGTCTACTACTGAACATCTCTCACAGCAAGCAAAACAGACATAAGATTGTAAGGATTAACCTTTCTGTATTTTCCCCAAAGAAAAACAGAATAACCTGTTAAGTAGAGTTAGAACGTGTAGTTCAAGCAGTTACCACCCCTTAGCAATATGCAGTAACCACCCATTTGAACTCTTAAACTTGTCTTCTTATGCTCTAAAATATTAAGGGATAGTTTGCATTAATCTCTCTTGTGCTTTGTATTCAGCCTACCTTCAATGTCACTTTAAGTCCATCCTTCACAAAGTTTACTTTGCATTAAAATAGACCCATAGAGGCAGATAGCTTATCTTTCTGAGGAAGCAAACTACTTAGCTCAAAAATGCAAATGCAAGGCCTTATGTAATTATGTCCAAATGCAATATATTATGCACTCAATATCCAGGATCCACCTCTCTTAACATCTCCTGCAAACATCATTTGGAATTATCTATTAATTTTAGTGAATCAACTATAGCCTGTAAGTCAGCATCACCATAGAAAACTAAAAAGGAGTACAAGACATAGGATGATAAAACTATTTCTAAAAGAACTCAAATAATTAACTCAAAGGATACTATACAGCATAATGTGCATGTTCAATGTATTTTATTATTTTTTAAAAATAATTCTGAAGTCTTTTACAAGTACAGCAGTACAAAGGGCTTGCCCTAACAAACATACCCTCCTTTTCAAAATGTCCATATTGCTAAAGTTTTCACCCAGACTCTCTCAACCTTCTTGCCTATTTGTCATCTTAAAGTCTCATCTAGTGATCCCTCCACTCTAGGTAATAGAGCCACAAAGGTTCATTTTCCAACTTCTCCCCTTCTGTCTCTCATTATGCTGAAGTCATACTCTACTTTTCATTTTTCTATTACCTTTCTTTTCTGAGCTGACTAGTCTCATTCACAAGCCCCCTTTCTATCCATCATTTCATTCTGTACTGAGAAGTCAGCTTCACCTCAAATTGGCCTCTTCCAGTACTCACCTGTTAAGTTTTCAAACCCCTTTATTCTTTCCTTAGCAACCCAGCTACTGGCAGGGCTGCCTCTAGCCCTCCGGAAGACTATCATTATTGTCCTTTAAAACTCCTCTACATCATGATCCTGAAAAAAAAAATTTAGCAATGTATGCTAATGCCAGAGCTTCCCATGCTGACTAATCTTTTATCTCCTCTGCCTGTGCCCCTCTGTTATCCACACTGACCTTCTGCCTTATATTTAAGAGCAATTTCTTTCAAGCAGAGGCTGACTTCTGGTTCTGGGTTTGTTGATGCTCATGCACTGGTATATGATTACAGCCCCTAAAATTCTGTTAGTATAAGTAAAAAATGACAGGCTTAGCATTTCCATAGACTACAACTGCACTTATTTTTAAGAGTAATACAACCTTGTAGCAAAGGTGGCTAATGGTATCCTGGGCTGCATTAGACAAAGTGTTGCCAGCAGGTGCAGGGAGGTGATCCTTCCCTTCTGCTCAGCACTGGTGAGGCCACACCTGGAGTGCTGGGTCCAATTCTGGGCTCCCCAGTACAAGGGAGACATGGGCATACCAGAGAGAGTCCAACGAAGGGCCATAAAGATGATTAAGGGACTGGAGCATCTCTCCTATGAGGAGAGGCTGAGAGAGCTGGGACTGTTCAGCCTGAAAAAGAGAAAGCTCAAGGGGGACCTCATCAATGTGTACAAATATCTGAAGGGAAGGTGCAGAGAGGATGGAGCCAGGCTCTTTTCAGTGGTGCCCAGTGACAGGACCAGAGGCAAGGAGCACATACTGAAACACAGGAAGTTCCCTCTGAACATCAGGAAACACCTTTTTTTACGTGAGGGGGATCAAGCATTGGCACAAGCTGCCCAGGGAGGTTGTGGAGTTTCCCTCCTTGGAGACATTCAAAAGCCATGTGGACATGGTCCTGAGCAACCGTCTCTAGGTGGCCCTGCTTGAGTAAGAGTGGTTGGACCAGATGACCTCCAGGGGTCCCTTCCAACCTCAACCATCCTGTGATTCTGCTCTCTCAGCCCTGCTAACCAAAGATACTTCTGTTATTTTCAGATTTGAGGCACCTATCTTTTACACTTAGTGACAAGCAGAGTCTCACTGTCTTTTTAACTCATAACCTGTTCCCTGACTGCACCACATAAGTACACGGCAAAATTCCCATCTACTGCAATGGTAACACAAATAACAGATTCCTGTTATTTGGGAGAGAAAAAAAGTGCAGTGTTACATTCTGACTTTTGTACCCATGCAAGAAGCATGAGGAGTTGCTAAATACTTCTTCAGTCGAGGTGGACCAAACTTGTGTTGTACGCTTCCACCCAGTAGTGAGAGAGGGAAGGTGTACACCACATACTGAGATGGCATGGAGTGTTTTGTCCCTGCCTGGCAATCTGATTCCCCATCTGAACCTCAGACTAAGTAATTAGATGTCATACCTAATTTTGGGTTAATGCAAAAGACATCAACAACACCCAGGTGTTTGAGGTCTACAGTTCAGAAGGCAGTAGTAGGGAGGAAAGCATGCTAGTAAAGACATTAGGTTTTTATGTCAGTAATAAATCAGTCTCTTCAGAGATCAACTATGCAATACATCAAGTCAAAAACATCAACTCTGCATGTCAAGTCACACACTGCCACATAGGCAACATTTCCTAATGTAAAAAAAAAAAAAAAAAAATCCCAACCTTCCTTGCCTGTTTTATTACTCACTAAGCAAATACAATCCATAGTAAACCATCTTTATAAACACAAGCTACCAATACTCTTAGGACAGAAAAATATCCTGCAAACAAAAGACCATACTGTCTGTTGGGATACAAAACACTCCACAGAATCTGCTTGAAAAGTATTCGTATATATAGATCATCACCTAACACTCTGTAACACGTAACAAGGATTCTACAATTTGGGATAGGGCAGACTGCATTACTGCACTGCTCTTCTCTGTTTGCTCAAGGCTGTAAGATTTCTACTAACATTCCAGTCTCCATCTTCTCTGTGTGTTATTCCTGAATGACCTTGGCTCTCATTGTATGTGTGGCAATACACTTCTTTGAGCACATACTGCTGTATTGCACAATACTGCCCTAAAATAAATTACGTAGGGAGAGTAATAATGCCAGGAACACTGACTTATTCCTAACATTGCCAAACAATTCTAAATGCAACCTATTTATCACACGACCTGCTTCTCTCCTTAAACATATGCTGACAACGTCATCTGAAGAATGAAACACTGTCATCATTTTCACTTTATAGGCGCAACTTGATTCAAACCATATTGTAATCACTACTTACTGTGCTTCATAACTAACTATTCTGTGTATTAGACTAAAAAAAAAAAAAAAAAAAAAAAAAAAGCTAAGTGCCCTGAACTGAAAATTAAACCACTTGTCTAGAAGCCCATACATGAAAGTGGAATCTTAACAGTTTTTGTTTGGGGGTTTTTTGTTGTTGTTTTTATGTTAGTCTGAACAGCTGAAGTTGACGTGTTTTTTTTTCCCCCACCACCTAGAAAAACTTTTTACTAGGACATCTCATGGAATAGTGCTGAAAGCTGGCTCATACAGCATTACTCACAGCAGCATTACTCATAAATAATTCTCAGCCCTCATAGGCTAAAAACCAGGTAGAAACTTGTTAAAGAAAAGTATTTGAACACAAGCACAGGAAGTAGGGGAGAACCAGCAACTCATCTATAAAGTACAGACAGTTATAGGAAAAAAAAAGAGGTACACACCGAATTTTCTTCCTCCTCTTCTAGTTCTCTCTGCTGTTCCTCATGTCGCTTTGCCTTTATCTCCATAGCTTCAGTGATCAGGTCCCTTAAAATTGAAACTGGCTTGGCATTCTTAATAAATGTATGCTAGGAAAAAAAAAAAAAATCATTCAATTATATAACATCATTACAATAGTTATGCTTCAGATGTAATTACAAGTATTATTCAATACCACAGATTTCAGTGATAAATAGTATTTTACATTACACAATAATTAAAATCTACACTAACAACATACAATAACTTTTAGCTGCTTCATAACTAAGATTTTACTTTAACTAGTTTAATAACAGCAAGCCTTGGGAAATGTAATCATAACAACTGTTTTACAGTTAAGGATATAATTGTCCAAAGGAAGCATGCAGTAAGCAGTAAATAAATAGTGGTGATTGTCTGACATAGAAAAACAAACTTTTTCAGATATTCAGTTACAGCATTTAATTAATCTTAACAAACTGACAGCATAAATTAGTGGCTGTAAGCAGAGCAACTATGGCTGCCTACTTCAACAAACCTGTACTTTATATGTCATAAAACATTTCTTGACCTATGATGGTGAAATGTGGAACAAGCAAAAAAAATACGTTACTTTTAGCAAGAAGATTAATTTTTAACTCAAGGCCATTTAAAACATCACTTCTTCCTTTAAGACAACATGTGCACGACACCTTTTTACCTTCATTTTGCTGTCTAGTAAACACCTGTTAGAAAAATTCTGATTTTTGCATCATTATATGCAAATACAATTTAGGCAAAATGTAATTCTAAGCACCTCAGAAATGTATTATTAAATATTAAAAAATTGCTCCACGAAGAACAGACTTGATGAAGCCCAGTGTCCTACACCTATTATCTATCTTCTCCCTTGATGTATTAATTCAATTACTCTCCTTTTTCCTCCATGATCTTTCCCCACAAGCAGTACTTTCATTCCCACTCACACACACCCATAGCACCTCCAGCTCCATCACACATGCTCCAAATTCCAGCTGCCGGAAAAGGCAACACGTACTTGTGCTGGACCCAGTATTTGGTTTTCTGGCCAGTAAGCACATGGAAGGAGGAACACTGAAGCTCCCCGCCCCTTACTTGCACACATCAATGCAAGTCTCTTCTACCCAGCTGCCGGTATTCAGCTAACCATACGAACTTCAAATCTTTAAGGTCTCAAGTACTGATTCATACATCACACAAAAATCTAAAACTTTCAATTTTTACTCTCCTTGCAGTCTACATTTTGGTGTTCTCACAGTGTGGAAAATAAAATAGTCATAACATGACTTATGAATTTGATGATTTATTACTGGAAACTACTTTGCAAAATTTTTATGTTCTCCTTGTAGTGGAGTTCACTGGAATTTAAATTTTAAAAGAGGGTATTGCTAGCTAGAGACAGAATAAATCTAGCATGAGTGTCTTACAGATGAAATTTCAGATCAGATTCTTATGTAGACTGATGAACAAAGAAAATTAAGAATAGCATTTACCAATAGCAGTGAAAAGCATAGAAGAACACTAAATTATCCAAAAGTTTAATGAATTAGGAATCAGGAAAGTAAAAGGAGCAAAGGACCTAGCAAAATTTTTCACTTCTGTCCCATTATCAAAACAAGCTTATTTACAGGGAATTTTAGATTCCATTTCAATCATCATGGAACCTATTATAATTTTTCTAGAAATCGTCCCCCCCCCACCCCGACTTTCACTACCTTTGTTTTTTGTTTTTCATTAGTTACTTGTAGGCTTATCATGACAGCCCTGAAGGCAGTGGAAAACACAAATACTGGGCCAAAAGAGAAAACTTTCTTTGCGTTTTCTTTCTCCCACACACATTAAAATGTGTGGCCCCTGTAAAATTATGTCCATTTCACAAAGACTAAATCTTTCTTGATAGATCAGTCCCTCCTGTTTGATTTTTGTAGTTCTTTGAAATTTCTCTGCTTTATATCTCTCTCAGTACCAAAAAGATGCAACTGTTAAATTTCTGCAGCTACTAGAAGCTCAGGCCAGCGAGCAGGCGAAAGCCTGGCACACCCTGCCCTGGCTCCATAGGTCCACACCACCAACTGTGGCTCAAATTTAGAAGTGCCCACTTGGTATAACTCAGCCCAAGAACAAACTCATTACACTGTCCATCTGCATCAGACCCTTCTAAGACACAGAGCAATGTGTCTGCTTAATTTGACATGACCAGAAGGAAAGATTGAATATACTCCGTGGGTGGTCCACACTGAAGGGTAACCTGGGCTCAATTCCTTTACTTAACACTTGCCTAAATCCTGAGATCTATTGAGGGCCTCTAACCACGAAGCAAAGATCCTATTTTAACAGCAAGAACCAGCCCTAAACTATATAAAGAACAATTAATTTTTAGAAGCAGCAAAGGAGAAATAAAGTGGGGGTAGAGATACAGGAGCTGACAGAGAAAAGACCACAAAATGGAAAAGAAATAAGGCATGATAATAGTTAAAATGAGATTTGCCCTGAGAAATGTTCACAACAGTTCTTGTTTGAGACTAGAGGAAAAAAGCCATAAAACATGTATTTCCTCAGTAACTTAAATACTGACCTGTAGCAGCTGTGTTGCTGTAGCTCTTTGTTCAGGATTTTTCACTAAGCATTTCTTCACAAAATCTGTGAATTCATCAGACCAGAGCTCTGGCTTCCGGAAGGTTGGAGGGGGATTTGTAGGAATCATAAAAATAGCCTAGATAAAAATCAAACAACAATAGCAAGTTTAAACAAAACACATCAGCACAGCACTGAAGCCAAGTAAATGAATTGCTTTATCCACCTTTCTTATCAGGCTGAGAATCTGAAAGACAAAGTTTAAGTTAGGATTTCCACTGAGATTGAGATTCAGGAAGCAAATCCATCTGCTACTTATGTAGCTACTTCCCATTAGATTTTCTCTATTTAAACTGTACCCCGTTAAGCACATCACTCATTATTTTATCTATTGCTGTTTATCAATCTCAAGAGATGATTTTGTTTTTTCAGGAATTCTTAGTGGCAGAAATGACACTTGTTTAAGTGTCAAAACAAGCACTGCTTGTTTAAACAGACATATAAAGTTGCTGTGAAAAGCCAAGTTCACCTTCTCCTCTCTTAACTACATTTAGTTTTACAGAAGAATTGCTGACGAAATTTGGTAGGACTACCGTTTCCTTTTGCATTCATAATTCTTCAGATGTGGTTTTAAAACTTGCTTTTCCTAATGCGATTCAGAAACATATGCGAAAAGACCTAAGACAACACTAAAAGATGACAAAAATAAAATAATCAAGTAACTTGCCAACTAGCAGTGAGAATTTACTTGAATTTGAAAAGGCAGCATTTTACCTATGTAACAGAAATTTCACACTGTCGAGAAACATATGCAGACAGATTTTTCAACTAGGAAAAAAGATTCATGCTATATAAACAAATGTTTGTCCTACTTAAGATTATATATATTGTGCCATTTTCTTTATGATTTTTTCCAGGTTCTCCTCTAATTATAGATTTACACTTGTAGGTGAAAAAAAAGCAGTACAATTCTGAGAGACTAGCATAAAATAATTGGAAATTTTGAACTTCTGTATGTAATATCTCAAATGCATTCAGTATCATAGCTTAAGATTTACACGTGATAGCAACACACTATTCAGAGCTAGGACTATTGACAGAAATAAGATACTATTTTCTTCTAAAACCAGGTTCAATTTAACTACATTTTCCAAAGTGAAAGGGAGTAAGAGTTCTACATTTGTTTTTCTACAAGCATAGGCAGAATTATGTACTCAGAAAAGGGGAAAAAAATTGAAATGATAGATTATGCACACCGTTAACATAGTACAGGCACCAGAAGCTTCAGGCTATGCTTGAAACATGGGGAGAAGGGAGAGGAAGCTTCCTGAGATTTTATCCATAACTTTTCTTATGATGTCTGACTGGCCTTGAAAGTTGGGTTAACTTGTTCAAACCCTCATTCTAAAATTCTTCTCATACGCTGAAGAAAAGCAGAACCCATGCATAATGATGCAAAAACTTACTATAATTTTAATGAAAAATCATTTCAGTACTGAATAGTTTGCTTTAATTCAAATACTTAAAACGTTTACAAAACTCATTGCATTATCTGCCTAATACAAGAATTACAGGAAGAGACCTGGGCATTTTGTTTAATAAAGATGTATGCTGCAATAGCTTTACATTTTCAGTGGGCAGCCGTGCCAAACGAGTGTATGAACTCAGATAGGAAACATGGCACTCTATTACCTTGTAATTGGCCTTACCTACTTCACTTGCGATACAAGATTAATTGTCAGTACAAGTGAAGTGCTTCTGGTATAAAGCAGTGGCTAACAAATTCGCTGTTTCTGTCCTTAAAGGTAATGATCTCTTCTGAACTTTGAACGGATGACTTTTAGTCTTATCTTTAGCTACTCTTCAATCGCTACTGCAGAGCTAGCTGTTAAAGCACACAGCTGTAACAGAAGACTAGTAACTTCTGTTTATGTGGTGTCAAAATGTATACCTCCTGTTTGATAATAAACATTGACCTGTCTCTCAGCAGGTAAGCAAAGCTTAGTTTCAGAGTCCTACTCAGCTCCAATGTTCTGGGAAAAATATTTGCCTTTGCCAATTATTTTCATCAACTACACAGCAATTAAGAACCACAGCAAAGAAGTGACTTCTTTATAATTCACAAAGGACAATGAGAAGAAAGAGGGAATTCATGAATCATTCTTTTATGGCAGGTTATAAAAGTCACAAAAGGAAATATTCAAGAGCTAGAGTTCAGGTCCTAAATCCACATTTATGCTTTGTATGTCTGTTGAAAATACCTACTTCAGAAACATGCACATTTATTTAATGCTTAAACTGTAGGCTTTTTTAAATCTCGGTATGTGACATGACCTGTGTTAGCTGAAAAAAAAGTTTAGATGTGTTTTTTTAATACAAGAAAACATATAGAAACTATTTATTCCAAATGTTTAGTCCAACTTGTTAATTATGCCATGCACTTGCTAGCATGTACATCTCCTCCCCAGCTCTCAGCACTCCCTTTCGTTAACTAGCCTGAAATGCTGGTTTTCAATTCCATCTTCCTCCTCTACTTCCTCATTTTGGCTTGAATATTTCTCTGCATAAAAGTTAAGCTCCCTCTCTTTCAAAACACTCTATGATTTAGCTTCCAACTACTTCTCTTTCCTTCCAAGAAGCTTGCAAAGCAATCACTGGAGAATTATAAAGCTAGTCCCAAATCTCCAGGAATAAAAACAAAACACTTATCTGACAGGAACTTATTCCTCATTTTTGCTTCCATTTCTTGTCAAATACATCTTTTCTATCCTAGAAGAACTCTGTCCTATTTTAAAACAAAACTAGGCTGTTTCAGTCACTCTGTTCCATGGGTGCTGAGGGAAGCAGGAAACCTGAGACTTGTTTTTTTCATGCTTCTTTCATCTTACCCTGTATTTCTCCACTCTCTGTGTTCTCCCAAACTATTACCTGTAGTAATTTGTTGCTTCCACTCCACTTACAATTTTCTCTAAAAGTTTCCCACAGCTATTGATATTAGTGTGGCCAGCAGGAGTAGGGAAGTGATTGTGCCCCTGTACTCGGCACTGGTGAGGCCGCACCTCGAATACTGTGTTCAGTTTTGGGCCCCTCACTACAAGAAGGACGTCGAGGTGCTGGAGCGTGTCCAGAGAAGGGCAACGAGGCTGGTGAGGGGTCTGGAGAACAAGTCTTATGAGGAGCGGCTGAGGGAACTGGGACTGTTTAGCCTGGAGAAAAGGAGGCTGAGGGGAGACCTCATCGCTCTCTACAACTCCCTGAAAGGAGGTTGTAGCGAGGTGGGTGTTGGTCTCTTCTCCCAAGTAACAAGCGATAGGACGAGAGGAAATGGCCTCAAGTTGCGCCAGGGGAGGTTTAGATTGGATGTAAGGAAAAATTTCTTTACTGAAAGAGTGGTGAAACATTGGAACAGGCTGCCCAGGGAAGTGGTGGAGTCCCCATCCCTGGAGGTATTTAAAAGACGTGTAGATGAGGCGCTTAGGGACATGGTTTAGTGGGCATGGTGGTGTTGGGTTGATGGTTGGACTCGATGATCTTAGAGGTCTTTTCCAACCTCAATGATTCTATGATTCTATGATTCTAGTTCAGCTCCCTCAGTAGGGCTGATGGCAATGCTCATACAGCCAGCGTTAAGCAATTGTTGCTTAAAAGAAAAAACAAACCAAAACAACAGCAGCAGCTAGCACTGAATGTAAGCTACCATCCACCCAATTACATGGGCTGAACTGGCAGTAACAACTGCAGGAAACGTTAGGAGGAAATTGTTCAACAGATGGGGCAGGCTCTGACATACTACAAAAGAGCTGGGGCTAATTCTTCTCTCCCACCTTCAACATCACCTTCCACGTTTCCCTACATATCTGAGACAGACTGGCAAGTCTTACTCAAGTAACACATCAAATATACAGCCATGGTGTTAGATCATATGACTTAGTCTTCAGTTTTAACCTTTCAATCTTTTTTTTTTTTTTTTTTTTTTTTTTTTTTAAATTCCCTAAGCTGGGAGACATCAGAACTCAGGCCTGAGGGACCATGGCAGCTTAATCAGTGTTTGTCTTCACCTGTCTGTAACAGAGAGCCCATTCCAGATTTGTCCTGAACTGGCCCTTCCACCTCTGAACCTTGAGCCCAACTCTCTACTTTGAGTCATCTTTCATACGTTGCTCTGAGGCAAGTCCTACACCCTGCAGTGAAACCAGAATCCAAGGCAAATTACAGTATATACATGACAAAGGATGAGGGGGGGGAAGATACATGATCCAGGGCAGCTTTCAGTGGCCACTTCTGAATTGAGCACTAGACAATCTAACACAGTTTCTACCATAACCATTGCCTGGAAGCACTTACCTGCCCGATAACCAGCAGTTATGGTTAAACTGAATACTGGACTGAGGACCAGGTCTTAAGTGAGAGCAGAACGGCACAAGTCAGCACATGATTTTCTTTTCGTTATTCTTAAAGGGCCTAGCATTTTAAATGAAGTCCAGGCTGAAAACATTTTCTTCATGAAGGTTCTTTTATGGACAGTTTTATTGGCGTGAAAATGTAATCAGATGAATTAGGAAACGCCAAAAGAAAAATAAGACCCTCATATACTGCATTTGGAATTTCCTAATCAGAAAATCCTTGCAGCTTATTCTTTCTGACAGTCAGGGTAATACATCTGTATTTCACACAGCCCACGAACACATTAAATGATCAACGGTAATTTGGTAGAGATAATTTTGTCTTTCGGTTTTTAGCTTGTTGAATAACTTATCTCTACTGCTTAGTTTAAATAAATGACTTGTAATAAATAGCAGGAAATCAAAAGAGTAACTTCTACTGTTATTATTTGCCCAGTATCATGAAGGAGACAGCAAAGATTTTTATATCGTGGCGATTTTATAATTTTCATGCTGTGAAGCTCCATTGCTAGAATCTACAGAGAGAAACTTTTTTAGAAAGAAGGTAAGGATACAAGACATTCACAGGCAGTTTGTGACTCCATAGTTTTTGGCACCACAATTATACTACCTAGTTTATCAATCTACTGCAGAAAACAAACTCCAAAATACGTTTAAACTCAGTAACATATTTCAGAGTATGAAATCCTATTTAAGGCTGGGGGGGTTAAAATGTTACAGTATTCAATAGTTATTA